GCAGAATTCCTCAATGCCCTACCAGTAGCAATTTACACCTTGCCTTACCCAGCTGCACCCGGGGCTGCAAAGTGCAAATGGAAAACGTGATCACTTCTGCTTGTGATGCAGGAGGTTGTAGAGCCCTGCACTGCTAAATGTGTGGGTTTACAGGAGAAATTACACTGGCTAGAAACAGAAATAAAATGTATCAAAGCTCTTTTTGACTCCTAAGGCACACTAATATTCCCTAATGGAATGTGTAGGGGCAACATCTTGCTGTTGATTAAAGCAGTAAGGTCCTTCAGTTGTTTATAGTTAAATGGTTGTTAGAGTAGTATTTTACCATTCAATTACCAAGTCACTTGTGTTTTGCAGTACTTTATTGTTCTGAGGTGGGGTGTGTGTGTGTGTATATATATATATAAAAAAAACTCTGAAATGTCTAGGATGCTTGTTTATGTTTTCTCAGTGTTCCCTCTTATTAGAGTACCACATGAAATACCTGTTACAGTCACAGTAAGTTTTAGATAATCTCAGCAAATCTGTACCAAAATGGTTCCGAAAGAGGCAAATAATACCAAAATATGGGAGCAGTGCTTTTTATTTTTTATTAAAAAAAATACATGAACTCTAGTGAGCCAGAGTGGAATTGTATTGGTGATGGTGTGCTATGCTTCAGCTTAAATTCACTGATACCAGGCACTTTAACCATCTTTGTTTCCTTGAATTTCAATGTAGACACACCTAAATAGGTGATATTAGAGGTGTCCTGTCCTGGTAACTAATCTGCTCCTTCTCTAGTACGCTTTTGTAGTTGGAGAAAAACACCTTTATGTCAAAAATCCTATGGGACAAAATTTTAATTCAAATTTGTCTCTATTTTAAATAAAGTGCGGAAGTGTCCTAATGGGTTGCGTAACTAACACTGGGGTAGTGGAATCTTGGGTTGAAATTAGTGCCTCAAAATACCTGATTGGATAGCTCTGAGCTTGCAGATGTGTCTGAGTGTTACTGACTCTCAGGTGGGTGGTGGAAAGATGGTTTGTAGTGCCTGGGCCTGTGCTGTGCCATCTGAACTGTGAACATTAATTGGGAACACCTTTCACCTGTGTAGGACTGCTACTTCATAGCAATGGATGGTCATCCAGGACTGTTGTTTTCTTAGTGGTGATGCCCTGATATATCTGAGAAGATGTTACACCAGCAAAAGTCTTTAATGTTGCCAGACATCCTTTCATTTCAACTCCTGAGGTGTAGATCCGCAAATCCTATGGTGTTGGCAAGGTCTGGTGCCCAGGATGCTCCTTCTGGAGCCATCTATAGCCTGATGTGTTTGTAATACAGGGAAGGCTGCACTTCCACTTCTTCCCTATGCACTTAGCAATCCTTCCCCATATGCTTTAACAGTAGTATCAGAAAAACAGCTCAATTACACGGCACCCTGATGTGACTGCATGCTGCTTTCTCTCACAGTCAGAAAGCCAGAGAAACTAATGAGTGGAGGAAAAATGGTGAAGGACAAGGAAAGAGGAAAAACTGTGTAAATAATTAAAAGAAATGGAGAGGAAAACACCAAAACACACAGAAGGAAATAGAAAAAGGAGATGGGTAAGGTTCTTGCACAAAACACAGTGCTAGTGTTTACTTCATAGGTCAGCACTGATAAGAAAGTAACTTCATTTCCCCATTTCAGATGTTTTGATGTTATATTTTTGGCTGCTGACTCCGAGGTAGTGCTGGCAGTTGTCCTTTAAGAGGACTTGAATGTGGACAGAGACCACTCTGGGGAATTTTCTTGTTCCATGTTGGCACTTGAGGGGAAAAGTGGAGGGAGTACTTTCAAATAGATTTCATCCATCACAATACCAGCCTTAAATAGAGAAATATTATGCAGGTAGGAAGGAATTGAGGTGCTAATGTAGTGTTTGCTTACATATTTTTTTAATTTACAATTTAATTTGGTTTATGCACCTGCACAGTAGGGAGAGAGATTCTTAAGTGGACAATGTCTAGCAAATGTAGTTGTGTCTGCTGGGTACAAGGGCTTCATGCAGTTCTCAGTATTAATCAAAGGTGTGTTAGAAGTTGCTGACCAGGTTTCTGGGTAATACAATGAAGGTGGCAAGCAAAGTTCCAGACCTGGTCCACAAGCACAAATTTGGTACATATTTTAATACACGTTTTTCTGGAGAGACGGGATGAGAATGGAGGGTTGCCCCCTCTGTAAAAAGAGCAGCTGGAATGTATGGAGCTGTTGGGTGGATGATGGGCTGCTTGAGAACAGTAAGGATCAAAGGAGATGGTACTGAGGGTGGCATGTTGGTGGACTGCGGACCGGCTACTCATGATGAAGGTTGATTAAATGTTTAGCAGCTCAGTGCTATCTATGGGTCACAGATCCTGATGCTTGGAGGAGAGTTTGGAAGGATAACATGATGGGATGCGAGTAATCCAGCAGATTTCAGGAAACTTTCTTGGTAGAGATACTGAATGGGCTAACCAAGGGTGTTGCACAAATGGATGTTCATCAACAACATTTTTTTAGGATTTGTGATAATGGCAGCCTTGGCTGTAATCATGACCATACAGTGGAGCTCAAGACCACAAAGGGAGTGAGAAAGGTAAGTCCTTGCGCTTCAGAGAGGAAACTTTGGCATAGTTGGGGAGCTGGTAAATGTGATGCCATGGGAGGCAGCTCTGAAAAGTCAAGGGACCATAGAAAAGCTGTCAGGTTTTTAAGGGGGACTTTCCCTGTGCAAGAGTGGCACATCCAAATAGGCAGACAAGTTGATGAACTGGGACACCAGTCAGGCTAAACGGGGAACACCTGACTGAACCTCCTTGCAAAACTGTAATGGTGGAAGCAAGAACAGATAATGGTGAAGGAGTTACTGGAAACATTGCCAAGGCTCACAGGGGATGGTGATGAGACACAGCTTGAGGAATCTCATGTTGCTCAAAACCTATGTTAACAGTAAGAGGCTGAACAAGGAACAAGGAGGCCTGTTGTTGAATGTGAGCACAGGTAGGGCTGAGGCCCCCATCTCGCTGACCCCTGTGCTTGGAGGTGAGATTCCAGCAAGTGAAGAACTACCAGCAATGGATGAGGATCAAGCCATGGATTCCTTCTGAGAACTTGATACATACAAATCTGAGAACAGCAGTGCTGTGTCTGGGGCTGCTGGAAAGAGCTGGCTGATGCCTTGAGAGTAGCAGGTCTCTGTGCTTTTTAGAGTGGGGTGAGGAGAGTCCACAACAACTGAAGCACTCTTTCAGTAAAAGCCAAGGAGGGCAATTTGGGTGAATTTCTCCCTGGCAAAATCCCTGAGTCTCCCTTGGAACAGAATTGCTTTTGTGTATTTCATGTGTCTAGAAAGGGTGCCATCATGCCTCACCAACCGTTTGCCTTCTGTGATAAAATGGTGGCATTTGTAGGCATGGGGATGGTAGAGGATGCCATGGCAACTTTAGTAAGGTGCTTAGCACTGGCTGCTGTGCTATTTTTGTGTAGTCTGGATGGGTGGACAGCTAGATGGGTAAAAGGCTTGTTGTGGGGCCTATTGTATTTAACATCTTTGTCAAGGACCTGGAGATTACAAGGACCCGACACTGGGGTGCAGTTGACAAGCTTCAGAAGGACTTGGGCAGGTTCAAGGAACAAGCCAGCATGAGCTTTTGGAAATCTAATAAGGACAAACATCCTGCCTCTGGGAAGGGAGGGCACCTTGCAAAAAGTCCAGACTGGGGAGTGCGTGTCTGTGCTGGAGCTCTGTGGGAAAGGCTGTGGGGATGGCAGGAGGCAGCAACCTGACACAACTGTAACAACAGTATGGCAGTAGCTTGGAAGAAGTGATCATTCTCTTTAATTTGGCACTCATTAGGGCTTTTCTAGACCACTTACTGTCCAGGTGTGTCATCCACCTTCACAATGTTGTGACAAAGTTGTTGGCGAGCTGGGGAGAGCTCAGGGGAAGGCCATCAAGGCTGGGCCTGGAGCACCTGTCCTGCAAGGAGAGGTTGAGGGAGCAGAACTCGTTTGACCTGGAGAAGGGAGGGCTTGCCCCCGTCTAAGGGAGGAGGCGAGAACGGGCATACTGAAAGGAGAGGGTCAGGCTCGGGATTTAAGAAGGCTGGTTCCACAGCGGTGAGCCCAGGTATGGCTGGACGGTGCGGGCCTGAGCCCCCCCAAGGTGCGGAGGGGAAGGCGGCAGCGCCGCGGCGGCGGAGCGCGGGGCGGGCTGGGGGCTGAGGCGGGCAGTGCCTGGGGGACTTCCAGCCCCGGCCGGCGGGCGGAGCAATCCCCCTTCGGGCCGCCTCGGGGGCGCGGACGGGAAGCGCCGCTGCCCCCCATCCCTGCCTCGCTGGGCGCGGGGCTCGGCCCGGCAGCTCGGAGGAAGAGGAAGTGGCCGCGGCCCCAGGCCGGCTGGGCTCGGAGCGGAGCTGCCCGGCGCCTCCCCGGGCTGCGCGGCACAAACTTTCTGCCGGGCGGCGGGGCCGTGTGGCGGCGGGGCGCTGCCCCGGCACCTCCCAGTGGCGGAGCCGAAGGGGGGAGCGGCCCCGGAGCGCGGCGGGCGGGCGGGCACGGGCGGCAGCCGGAGGAGGAGGAGGAAGCGCTGTCAGGGGGGCCGGCCGTCTCCGCCCGCCGGGCATCCTTCAGCACCGCCGGGCTGCTCTTCGCCCGCCGCCTGTCCCAGGTACCGCCGCGCACCCGCCCGGTCCGGCGGGCAAACTTGGTGAGGGGAGGGTGTCCGGGGGTCGCTGCTGGGCAGGGCCGGTGCGGCTGAGCGGGGAAAGCGGCTGCGGGGCTCTGACTCGTCCTGATCCTCCGGCTGCCGAAGTTGGGAGCGGGGCCCGGGCTGGCCGGCGTGCCCGGCTGCGGAGGGGCTGCTCCGGGCTTTCGCGGGGGCGGCGGGGGGAGGTACTCCCGCTCCCTTCCCTCCCGCCCTCTCCCCGAGCGCGATTTCGGTTTGTGCAGCGCCGGTAAACGGCCGCTCCGAGGAGGGGGCGGCGGTTCCCTCCCGCTCCGCTCGCCGAGGGGCCGGGGGAAGGCGGCGGGGCCGGCGGGTGGCGCCGTCCTGTCAGACGGTGAGGAGACACCCGGGGCTCCGGCGGGGCTTTCCGCGGCCGGGGCGGTTGCGGGGATCGGTAAGCGGCATCGCGGCGGTTCGCGTCCAGCCATCGGCGCGGTGAGGCAGAGCCGGGGAACGGGGAGGGAGCCCCGGGAGGAGCGGGGAGGGTGCCTGCCCCGCCGCCCCTCGCACGCCGGGCACCTGGGAGCGGCGGGACCGCGGCGTGCCATCGTGTGGTGGCCGGGGTTTGTGATTTTTACAGTTGTTTTCAAAGGCTGGGCTGGATATTGCCTTTCTAAGTCAGCGATACAGTTTCGGCACGTTTTTATGAGAGAATAAAGAGAGGGAGAGCGACCGTGGGTCAGCAGTTGTATATCCCAGTGTGGAGTAACCTCCCTCTCCTCTCGTTTGTCTAAATCCGTGTCGGAGTAACCGCTTCTCGCAGCCTGCCTGTTCCTGGAAAAGGGGAGTTTAGTTGGGTGGACTTCTGGAGCTTTTCGGTGATAGTTCCAACTCGGTCAGATCATTAATGGGAGACATTTGTTCTCCATTAGGACTGAGCATGTTTGGCTCCAGCTCCTTGCCAGCCCGGAGCGGGGGAAGGAGCTGAGCCGGGGGCAGGACGGGCAGCAGCCGTGGAGCCCCGCCGTGCCCTTGGGTGGCTGCTTGGGTGTAAAATAATAAAGAATTAACCATACCTGACCTCTAACACCTTCAGCCGAAGTTTGGAAGCTGTGGCGTGATTGTATAGTGCTTCTATTTTTATTCCCGTAAAAAAAAAAACAAACAACCTCAAATGTTTTTACTTCATTATTTAGTAGAATAATTAACGTTGTCAAGATACAGCTGATCTCTAGTTTACAAGGGGAAATCTTTTTGACATCTGCTTTTATGTTTTGTTTATAATGAATCCAGTCCATGTCAGCTTCTGGTATTGAATAACAAGTTACTGGCAGTACCCCTCTTTTTCACAATACTAGTGGTTGCATTTTTGTGTTTAATTTCTGTTTTTTTTTTCCTAAGAGAAGTCTCAGAATGAAGGGTTATTTTAGGAATCTAACTTAACCTCAAGTTCGTTACATTAGACAAGGGGCTTTCCACTGCTTGAATGCTGGCATTCCCCTGGTCTGAGAGAGAGAATGTTGTGTGAAATGAGTGTATACAGCTGTGATTAAATACCATGGGGAGTTCTGAGCTCTGGTACAGGGAAACGTAGATACCATATTGGGTATAATTAAGTGGCCTTAGAATCTGTGGTGCAAAAGCTGAAAAGCTGGAGCCGCAGCCTTACAAAGAATAAAGGTCAAAATCAATGAAGACTGTATTTAAAATAATTAAATAAAAAAGTCACGTAAGTGTTATTCCATCCCCCAACTTCATGTGAGATCCCACAGCTTCACACCTGGCTCCACTTTACCTTTTACTCTAAATGGGTTGGCCAGGGTTTTATTCCATGGCAAACTAGCAAGACAGTAAGCATAGGGCTGTCAAGTCTGTCTAGCTTTGTGTTTTACCGCAGTTTTACTCGCTGTCCTTGAAGCTACTGTGCATACATTGCAATATGCATCTGATTTTCATGCCTGTTTTGCTGTGGGTTCAGGGTGGTGTGGGATTAACCTTAAAGGAAAGTCGGATTCATATCTGACATTCCTATGCTTGGTTCTGTCGGGTCCACTCAGTCTTTAATTTGCAAGACAATAAATGTTAGCTGCTATAGTTTCCCCTTAAGTTCTTGAGAGTAGTTCTCTAGTCCTTTGCATCTCAGTAGTCTCCTGTCTTCTCTTGGAGACACCTTGCTTGAACATTTGCAGCGGTGGTATTTCAGGAGAAATTTTACCTGTGCTTTGTCCAGTGACATTAATACTTTGTTATCTTGACCAGAAATAGCATGCCTAAAAGTATTTTGTGGAAATAGGTGGTACTATCTGAATCTTTTACTGTACTGAAAAACAGCATCATGGTATCACCAAGTATCACATCTTCTGGATGAGCGTTGTAGGGTGATGTGGGTGAGGTAAGGAGCAAGGGTCTCTCTCCAACCTGCTGTTCCTCAGATTGCTCCCCCACACCAGCACAATGCTTGCCGTTCTTCTCCACTGATACTCTCTGATCCTGTTTGCTGTTCTTCCTCCCACCCTCTCGCTCACATTGCACCCACATCGCCAACCGGCTTTGTTTCCCTGCAGAGGGTTAAGAGCAGCTGGTGGGAGCCCCTGGTTAAGGGCAGGGAGCCCACAGAGGTATCCCAGGGACAGTGCCCTGTGTGTTACGCAGAGCAGCAGAGTTCATCCCAAGACTAGTGTTGTGAACACCATAATAAAAACAATAGCACCTAATAATATTTTGTTGAAATCACGTTATCAGTGTGGCGTGTTATTTGACATGCTGCATGCTAGTGCTGGGCCTGCTTCGTGACTTGTGTATAAGATCTATCAGGGTAATCTGTTCTAACTTTGCTGAATCTGTATCTTATTTACCCACGTATTATTTTTTTTCTTCTTAAAGTTTCCTATAGCTTAGCAAACTCTTGAGGCTAGACTAGCAATTGTCTTAATTGGCCAAATTATGTTTTCTTCCTTTTTTCCTGTAGGCAGTACGTTTTCTTGTCTCCCAGGGAGATGGTACCAAACCTAGTGCAATAGTTTGTTTTTTAATTCTAGCAGTTGGATCTGCAGTTCGTCATGACAGGTCTTCCAGAATTCTTGGTATGAGTCCAAATTAGTCCTGATTTGCGTTCCGCTTCTGTTTAGTTGTGGTGTCTCTGGCCTCTCTAACTAGGCTTGACTTCTGGCACATTTCACTTTATGCTGGTGTTTCTTGATCCGAGACTGTAGTTTCCTCTGCTGAGCTTTTTTTCCTGTCCCTTGAAAGCTCTCTGCTTATTCTACCTTTCCTTCTTTATTAGGTAATTCATCTCGCTGGGTCTGGAAACCTTCTTATGAATTCTCTTGTCACTTCCTTGGGTTACAAATTCTGCAGATACCCATATTGTAGTTTAAACGTGTTCCAGACCTCCCCTGCGCTTATGTCCCATAACTTTTCATTCCTGTTCATCTCACTAATGAGTTCCCTTAGTTTTTGAGATTTGCCTTTTGAAACTGAAAACCTTAATTGCAGATTTACTTGGGTTGCTCTACCGTTTAATTTAAATAAAATCACTCATAAAGAATAAATCTGGGATTATTCTTTCACCAGCCTTTCTATAAGCAGAGATTTAGCTATTAGTTGCAAGTCTAAAATCCTGATAGTGCTAGTTGAATTGGTTAAGTATATGGTGAAAGAAATGATCAGTTGTGACTTCCAGCAGTAGATAGGACTGATTTACAGTAATCGTTCTTTGTATTTTCAAAATAAATCTTGGAGGATCATTTAAATTAGTTACTTTAACAACTGATCCTTCCCCACAAATAAAAATTATTGTGGTGTTTATTTAGTATATGCTTACATAGTTATCTGTATGGTAGTACTCTTCAAAATTGATCAAGTAGGTGCATCTCAGTACAGAATTTCCCTCTTAATGAGTGTAATCTCGCAAAAATCCTATGTAGTGGTAAGCCAGAAAGGCAAAAATTTACTGAAAAGTAAAAAGTGGTTGTGTCCTACCTCAAACCAGGACACGGGGATATGTCAGGAGCATGGTTTTATTCTGAGAACCTATAAAGGACCATCCTAGCATACGATTCTTTCTTAGTTTACCTGTACATCCAGTTTGTCAGGTCTGTAGTTTTTAATCCTCTGCTTTGGTTATGCTTCTCTGCCTGATGTTTTCTTGCCTTGTTATTCCTCTTCTGCTTCATTGCTTTAACTGTGCTTGGACTTGGCCGTAATTTGCAGGTTCTCTCAGGGTTTGTTTAGAGCTGAATAGGGGACTAAACACTCTGCTGTTTTGCAGACTGGGAAGGATGCAGGAATTAAGTGACCACATGCCAGCAAGTGAACTGAGCTGAGCATGAAGTGCTTATTATTTTGAAAATGGAAAGGTCAGGATTGCAGGAGTGAGGGTTTAAGAAAATAAGTGCATCTCATTACTGCACAACAAATTTGAAGTCCTGTAATTATTTGTAAAAGCCTTCTAGCATCCCTGCGAGGCAGCTAAGTATTACCCGTGGAAGAAAGAACCAGGATGAAAGGACTTAACCAAAATCAAGAGAGAAAACCTATTAATGTATTGCAGTTATCTTGTTTTGCTGCTGCACTCTACAGTAAGAACACCATATTCCATAAATTTGTGAAAGGAACTTTAGCAGTAACAAATGATATGTATTTTAAAAAATAAATTAATTAATGATACAGCTTACAAAATGAGGTCACTACTTCTGGATAATAAATGCTTTAAATGAGTTAATGCAGGCAAGCTTGGTCTCACTAATTGTGCTTAAAAACAAGCTGGTAGTAGCGTAATGTGCCTGTACTGTATGTTTTCTTTTGGTGCCATTATAAATATTAAAATTACCTTGTTTCTATTTCAGGTGGCAGTATATTGCATTTACATGTGTATTCAAATTTTCAGTCTAATGCTTTATGCTTAGCAGTTGACTCCAGTACTATATGTATTTAAAATAATTGTTTAGGAAGTTCTTTTCAAATCATCCCTGTAAGCAGTCATTAACACTATGTTTTCCGTAACACTGATATAGTTGAAATAAATTGTTTAGCCAATATATACTTTGTTGATAAACATCCCTTATATTACGTAATCTGGTAATCTATTCAAGCTGCCATTAGCCATGTCGTTCTGTTACATTTCAGTGTAATTTTTATTATTATTCCTTGGAGATAAATTGTTATGGAGTTCCATGAAAGGAGTGGATGATGCATCAGAAAACTAGCTCCATTTGTTCCCAAAAAAGCCCCAAACAAGCAGAAGGCAGGGTTTTTTTCTTCTCTTCTTTGTGCCCTTTTCTTGCTGAAAAGAAATCTTGGGGCCTGAGCCGCTATTATCAAGAAAATAAGTTGTTATCTACATGATATTATTTTATGCTTATTCTTGTTTGCTAGTTCTGAACTTGTTGCATTTCATCTATTTGGAACACATGCTAATAAAGTGAGAAAGGAAACCCAAGCTGCAGAAGAGAG